AAAACTCGTTTATGTCACATAAACATGTTGAAACCATATTTTTGTGTCGAACCAAAAGAGAACCCTGAGAATTTGGTTAGTGAATCGGTGACTAAAGGAAATACTGAGCGCGTTTCATTGTTGGCTTATGCTTTGCCTGCCGATACTGCGGACGATGGGTTGAATGTATCCATGGAAGCTTTAGGAGGAGGATGTTTTGAAAACTCTAAGATTTTATCTTTGCTTCCTGAGCAACTATCCTATCTATCGCCTGAACAGCGAGAGGACGTAATGAAGTTGATAGACAGTTTCCTGTGTTTGTTCAATGACGTTCCTCCGGGTACTAATGTCATTCAGCATGACATTGAGGTCGGTAGCGCATTACCGATCAAGCAACACGCTTATCGTTGCCCAATGAGTCTGAGAGAAGCCATGAAAAGTGAGGTTAAGTATTTATTGCAGAATGGTTTCGCTGTCCCGAGTAATAGTCCATGGAGCTCACCGTGTGTTCTGGTACCGAAGGCTGATGGGTCTTTACGTTTCTGCACTGATTTTAGAAAGGTAAATTCCATCACAGTGGCTGATGCTTTTCCGTTACCGCGGATGGAAGATTGCATTGATTGTCTTGGGGGTGCGAAATATATTACTAAGTTAGACCTTTTGAAAGGTTATTGGCAGGTGCCGTTAACCGAGCGCGCTTCTAAGATCTCCGCCTTCGTAACCCCCGATTCTTTTCTGCAGTATAAACGCATGGCATTCGGTCTGAGAAACGCACCAGCAACGTTTCAACGTTTAATGTCCACAGTCTTAGGTGACGTTCCTAACTGTAACATCTATTTAGACGATGTAGTTATTTATTCGACTACATGGGCTGAACACATGTTGACCTTGCATGACGTGTTTCGTCGGTTAGAGGCTGCTTCCTTAACGTTAAACCTAAAAAAATGTGAATTTGCTAAGGCTTCTGTCACTTATTTAGGGAAGCAGGTGGGAAACGGTAAGGTACGGCCATTGGACGGAAAAGTGACTGCTGTCCTCAGTTACCCAGTGCCTACTACGAGGAGAGAACTACGTAGATTCCTGGGGATGGTTGGGTACTACCGGTGTTTTTGCAAAAATTTCTCGAGTGTGGTTGCTCCTTTAACGAAGTTGTGTAGTCCAAAAGTTTGTTTTGACTGGACTAATGAGTGCCAGCAGGCATTTCTTTCTGCTAAATCTCTTCTTTGTAGTGCACCTGTGCTGTCTGCTCCAGATGTGACTCGTCCATTCCAGCTTGAGGTCGACGCTAGTGCGGTTGGAGTGGGAGCTGTCTTGCTGCAGGAGGGTGCTGATGAAATAGGCCACCCCGTATCGTACTTTTCAGCTAAGTTTAACAGTCATCAGTTGAATTATTCAACGATTGAAAAAGAAACTTTAGCTATGTTGTTAGCCTTACAACATTTTAATGTTTATGTGGGGTCTAGTTCTTCTCCGATCGTTGTTTATACGGATCACAATCCGCTGGTTTTTCTGGTTAAAATGTATAACCATAATCAACGATTGATGCGTTGGGCTTTAATGGTCCAGCCGTATCATTTAGAGATCCGTCATAAAAAAGGATCTGATAACGTGGTAGCAGATGCGTTGTCTCGTGGATTGAGTTAAGCTCTGGTTCTATGCAGAATCAGTTTTCTTTTCCCCTTCTAAGGAGGGAAAGAAGAGGGAAAAAAAAGTCTGATTCTTCCTTTAGGGGGAGAAGTGTTACGGCCTCAGCCTTATGGGTGTTGCCTATGTATTTGTGTGTGTATGTTTGTCTTGTAATCTAATTAATGTCTCTTCTTAAGTGTAGGCTCCTCCTTTGCGCACCTGTGGTTCGTTGCTCTGATGGCTCGTGCTGAGCATATAAGCGGTGTGTGCAGGAGTGTGAGACACGCAGCGGTGAAACGCCGTGCGCGTCATGACCATCTAAAACATCCGATCAGCTTCAACTCAAGCCTGTGTTCTTTGTATTGTGCCACTATTCTGTTTTATTTTGTTAGTGTTTGGTATGTCTAGTGTAGAGAAAATGTGAGTTTTCTGTGGGAAGAGTGAGAACATGAGAGACGTGAGATTGTGCAGTCATTTATTAGTATAAATAAATGTCTTAAACTGCTTTTTGCCTTGCGTCTCCTTTTATGTTATTGAACCCTTACAAAACGAGCATTCTTAACAACAGGGTTCGTGACAATCATGAGTGAGAATCTAATGGCCTTTCATCAATCTGTGTGAACAGGGATCGTTTTGACAATAATTGCCATCTGTATGCCAAAAATACAAAGGAAAAATTTTGTTCAGTGGTTCCCAACCTTTATTTGTCTGAGACCCCCTTTTTCCGAAGAAAATATTCTTAGGGCCCCCCCTTCACATTTAATGATATTATCGCTCTTGTTATATTTACTATAGCCAGATAACACAAATAATAGCCTATAATATTGAAAATACAATAACAAAAACATAAGTAGGTCCTTTGTAATTTTAAAATAAGCCTAGGATAAGACTTTATATTGGCCCTATTTGAAGTGCAAAAGCAAAAATATTCACAGTGGTGTGTAGGCAAAAGACAAAAAAAAATATATAGACTATTACTAAATGACTGCTGTCTGGGGCCTCAATACTTGCAAGTTATTTGAACTACCAACCTGAAGCTGCTGCTGCGATTTAGTATGGTTTCTGACCATGTCCATCACTATAGGCCTGCGGTAACATATTCTGATGGCCATTTCCAGCTGGATAAGGCACCATGCTGCAAAGCTCAAATCATCTCAAACTACTGTCTTGAACATGACAATGAGTTCACTAAACTCAAATGGCCTCCACAGTCACCAGAATCCAATAGAGCAGGTTTGTGACGTGCATTACCATCATGAAAAAATCTGTAGCAACTGTGCGATTCTATCATGTCAATATGGACCAAAAGGTCCAACACAGTTCTAACAAGGTACGTAATGAAGGCACCGTGTGTATTATATCAGATCAGTGTTCTTGAGCCGGCAGCATTTACATCATCACTTAACAGACAATTTCTCATCTTCTGATTTTATAACAGCGGCTGAGGGAGAGACAAACTTGACATCTTTCTTTTTTGACCGAAATAATCTATCCATCTGTATATATTTTTATCTTCTCTTTGGAAAAATAATAGTGGATTTTTTTTTTCTTTTGCTGTTGAAGCAGAAATAAATACTGTAGTCTCTCCTTTCACCACTGTAGGATTTTTCTTCATCTATCCATGGACATGTCAGATGAAGGGAACTGGTTTCCTGGGAACAAGGACCATAATGAAATAGACTTCCTGAATTGTGAAAGTCAAAGACAACACCATCAAAAATAAGTAGGGGATGAATCTGAAATGGTTGTCAGAAAACTATCAGAAGTTGCAATGACAAAAGTAGCTGGACAATGAATCAGATTTCATGAGCTCCAGGCAGTGTCCATGGGATAAATCCTTCAGTGAAAGAGAAGTGCATGTTACTGTGCTTGAACTTCTTCTGGCTGAACTACAACAAAAACATTGGTGGACTTGATCAGCTTGAACCCGATATCAATATACAGTTCAGACAAACATATCTCTGGGAGACCAGAGAAGGAGAAACTGCAGTATTTTGACTTTAAGCTGCTGCTATAGTTAAATAATGCTCAAGAGGGTGGTCGAGGTCAACAGCAGGATCACACGATGTCCAGAGATGATGATGAGATGAACATTCAAACGAAGAAGAGGAGGCCCGTTGAACCACATCAAAAAATACTGGGCTCTCTTTTTGCCAGAGATGGTGGAGGCAAGACATGCATTACAGTTCAGGAGAGAAAGAAAAACATCTGTCAAGTGTATTAAATGCTTGTGTGTGTTTCAAAGTAATAAATAAATAAATAACCAATACATAACAAAACTAAGGATGTGTCTCCATCGGCTCCCTAGTTCAGTAGTCAGGGCACTGATGAGGGGGTCGGTCATTTTAAGGGCTGTCTCTATCACAAAATCCTTCCAGTAAACTGGAACGAAATATCACAATAGCTATACCACAAATACCAGGGAGAACTGATGCTCACTATGCTCCCTTAACAGAAATTACATTGCATTCCTGAAGCTCAAAAAGTTAAAATGCACAAGACAACTCAATAAAAATGCACGCAATATGTTCTACGAGATTCAGAAGTGTGCTTTTGATGGACACTTTACTGTCCCATGAGGCCACAGGAGAGGATTTGTGAATGGCAGTTATAAGCGACGCTACTAACGCTGGTAGATCATGATAATGACAACATCGCGAATGTTGCGGATTAGGCTACATACTGTATACTATACACATTCATACTTTCTAGAATGTATTTCTTTCCAGTCCTTACCAGTGCCTGGATTCATGTACACAATGTACCAATTCACAAGCTTGGTTACCATGAAGCTGATAGTTACCCCAACATGTCGTGATGAAAAAATTGACAGAGGAAAATTCCCTTGCCCTTTTGCCTCAGTGGAGGTTTGACAGCTTTCTCAAGATGCTACTGGCCACGTCACTGGACCCTTTTTCTGACAGTGTAGTGAACCGAGTGAGATGGGTAGACTTTAAAGATGCAAAAGGGGAACAACCTCGACCTTCGGCAATTTGGGACAGGCGTTCTGTAATGCCCATTTCAGTTTTAAAATCAATTAATGTTTTATAGTTCCAAAGACATCGCTTTCGAAAGTGCGGAAGAAATATTATTTCTAGTTTACAATTGACATTGTTTTCTTTCCATCGTTAATTTTACCTAATAAACACACATCTAAAAGAAATCATTGCTTTATTTTGTGTGCATGCAATTTGTGTGTAGCTACGCTTTAAATATATATTCAACATATATTCAACACGATTCAACATAAGTTCATTCAAAAATACAACAGCGTTCTTTGTATTTTTCTCGTCATTGTTAAAAAAGGTCACAAAAGCAGCCAAAATCTTTTTCCTCACGCCAGCACAGCAGGCGTCACTATACATTTTAGGTTATAACCCGGTAGTAGCAAATGTACGAAGAAGACGAAGTCGGTCGGAGTCTTCGATTTCCCAGATCTGTTGTCGAAAAGAATTTCAGAAATATAAATATTTATATTTCTTATATTGTAGCACCATGGTCATCCGGTATGTTTGCGATTTTTTTTTATTAAATTCTGTATTCACATAATGCATCGTCCTGCAAGTCCTGATGTAACGTTAAATGCGCTCAATTTGGCCTGGTTTGTTTTGTTCCTCATTTGCTTTATTTAAGATATATAATCAACAGGGAAAACCCTTTGTTCATCATTAATACATTAAACATGGATTGATTGTTTAATGATTAGCGGGTTTATCTGCAAGACAATGTCTATAACTAATAATTTTGCCGCGGTCATTAGCAGTTAGCATTAGCATTTTTGAATTTCAATCTTTTGTGTCATGCATATATGTGTAGCTTTACTTGAAAGTCATTTTATTTGCCTAATCGTACATTGCATTCAATATATTCACGTTTTCACCAGTATGGTAATATGGGTAAAGATGCTCCCTGTACTGTTAAATCATATTTCAACATTTACAGTGAAGATGCAACATCCAAAATAACATACTAAGCAAAATTCATTGAAACTTATACTAATTTTGTTGTTAATTTGATACATTTTTAACAGTTAAGTTAAGAACAGTGACATCAAACCACACATGAAGTCACCATCAAATTCTTATTTTTTTATGGAATATTACAATTAATATTAACTCGAACATTTAGAATATCATGCAAAAGTTAGGCTATAGTTTTGATTATTATGTCTTACAGCTTATGAAAACCCCAAATTCAAAAATTCTTAATTATTACATGAAATAAAAAAAATAAAAAAACTGGTTGAGATTAAAGAAGTGTAAGTAACTTTTTCTTCTATTTCTGCAGTTGCTGTTTCATCTGTGTGTTTGCGATGCTGATGATAAACAAAGGTGAGCATCCATCAAAAAGATATACATTCATATGGGGTGAGAAGAATTGTTGCACGATTACAAATAAGTAGATTATGATCCACAAATAAATGTAAAGAGATTAACAAAAATATCAAATTCACAAATAAATAGACTAAGATCCACAAATAAATAGGGCTGGGTATTGTTGGGTATTTCACAATTCGATTCGATTTCAATTCTTGAGGCTTCGATTCAATATTGATTTATTAGCTTCGATATCGATTCAATAATAATGTGCGCAGTATTACCAATGTTAAAGAACAAATTGACCCCAGCATGTTTGTTTCCTGGTTTATTCAGCAGAATAAACTGTACAATACTGTGTTGAATACAAACACAACTGTGACAAGCACTGTGCAGTGCTTTAACAACATCTCTAAAGTGCATGTAACTAAGTAGTAGAAAGTATATTTCTTTCTTCCTATACATTCAAGTTACAAAAGATCCTTCTTCCTATACATTCAAGTTACAAAAGTCACAAAATTTGCATACTCAAAAAAAGTCTAATATTATATTATAATTATAATTTTGTAAACAATAACACTTAACAGCTGATCACACTTAACAGCAATTGCGAGTTATCAGGCCAATTCTAAGGGGAAAAAAAGACTAACCATTTTCCCTCTCAGAATAGTTTATATCACGCAATTCTGACTTTATATCCCACAATTGTGACTTTATATCACGCAATTCTGACTTTATATCAAGCAATTCTGACTTTATATCCCGCAATTGCGACTTTATATCACGCAATTCTGACTTTATATCACGCAATTCTGACTTTATATCTCGCAATTCTGACTTTATATCCCGCAATTCTGACTTTATATCCCGCAATTGCGACTTTATATCACGCAATTCTGACTTTATATCACGCAATTCTGACTTTATATCACGCATTTCTGACTTTATATCTCGCAATTCTGACTTTATATCTCGCAATTCTGACTTTATATCACGCAATTCTGACTTTATATCTCGCAATTCTGACTTTATATCACGCAATTCTGACTTTATATCACGCAATTCTGACTTCATATCACGCAATTCTGACTTTATATCTCGCAATTCTGACTTTATATCTCGCAATTCTGACTTTATATCACGCAATTCTGACTTTATATCCCGCAATTGTGACTTTATATCCGGCAATTCTGACTTTATATCCCGCAATTCTGACTTTATATCACGCAATTCTGACTTTATATCAAGCAATTCTGACTTTATATCCCGCAATTGCGACTTTATATCACGCAATTCTGACTTTATATCACGCAATTCTGACTTTATATCTCGCAATTCTGACTTTATATCCCGCAATTCTGACTTTATATCCCGCAATTGCGACTTTATATCACGCAATTCTGACTTTATATCACGCAATTCTGACTTTATATCACGCATTTCTGACTTTATATCTCGCAATTCTGACTTTATATCTCGCAATTCTGACTTTATATCACGCAATTCTGACTTTATATCTCGCAATTCTGACTTTATATCACGCAATTCTGACTTTATATCACGCAATTCTGACTTCATATCACGCAATTCTGACTTTATATCTCGCAATTCTGACTTTATATCTCGCAATTCTGACTTTATATCACGCAATTCTGACTTTATATCCCGCAATTGTGACTTTATATCCGGCAATTCTGACTTTATATCCCGCAATTCTGACTTTATATCACGCAATTCTGACTTTATATCCCACAATTGTGACTTTATATCACGCAATTCTGACTTTATATCAAGCAATTCTGACTTTATATCCCGCAATTGCGACTTTATATCACGCAATTCTGACTTTATATCACGCAATTCTGACTTTATATCTCGCAATTCTGACTTTATATCCCGCAATTCTGACTTTATATCCCGCAATTGCGACTTTATATCACGCAATTCTGACTTTATATCTCGCAATTCTGACTTTATATCCCGCAATTGCGACTTTATATCCCGCAATTCTGACTTTATATCACGCAATTCTGACTTTATATCACGCATTTCTGACTTTATATCTCGCAATTCTGACTTTATATCTCGCAATTCTGACTTTATATCACGCAATTCTGACTTTATATCTCGCAATTCTGACTTTATATCACGCAATTCTGACTTTATATCACGCAATTCTGACTACATATCACGCAATTCTGACTTTATATCTCGCAATTCTGACTTTATATCTCGCAATTCTGACTTTATATCACGCAATTCTGACTTTATATCCCGCAATTGTGACTTTATATCCCGCAATTGTGACTTTATATCACGCAATTCTGACTTTATATCAAGCAATTCTGACTTTATATCCCGCAATTGCGACTTTATATCACGCAATTCTGACTTTATATCACGCAATTCTGACTTTATATCTCGCAATTCTGACTTTATATCCCGCAATTCTGACTTTATATCCCGCAATTGCGACTTTATATCACGCAATTCTGACTTTATATCTCGCAATTCTGACTTTATATCCCGCAATTGCGACTTTATATCCCGCAATTCTGACTTTATATCACGCAATTCTGACTTTATATCACGCATTTCTGACTTTATATCTCGCAATTCTGACTTTATATCTCGCAATTCTGACTTTATATCACGCAATTCTGACTTTATATCTCGCAATTCTGACTTTATATCACGCAATTCTGACTTTATATCACGCAATTCTGACTTCATATCACGCAATTCTGACTTTATATCTCGCAATTCTGACTTTATATCTCGCAATTCTGACTTTATATCACGCAATTCTGACTTTATATCCCGCAATTCTGACTTTATATCCCGCAATTGTGACTTTATATCACGCAATTCTGACTTTATATCACGCAATTCTGACTTTATATCCCGCAATTCTGACTTTATATCCCGCAATTCTGACTTTATATCACGCAATTCTGACTTTATATCTCGCAATTGTGACTTTATATCTCGCAATTCTGACTTTATATCTCGCAATTCTGACTTTATATCACGCAATTCTGACTTTATATCACGCAATTCTGACTTCATATCACGCAATTCTGACTTTATATCTCGCAATTCTGACTTTATATCTCGCAATTCTGACTTTATATCACGCAATTCTGACTTTATATCCCGCAATTGTGACTTTATATCCCGCAATTCTGACTTTATATCCCGCAATTCTGACTTTATATCACACAATTCTGACTTTATATCCCGCAATTCTGACTTTATATCTCGCAATTCTGACTTTATATCTCGCAATTCTGACTTTATATCACGCAATTGCGACTTTATATCACGCATTTCTGACTTTATAACACGCAATTCTGACTTTATATCTCGCAATTCTGACTTTATATCTCGCAAATTTGACTTTATATCTCGCAATTCTGACTTTATATCACGCAATTCTGACTTTATATCCCGCAATTGCGACTTTATATCATGCAATTCTGACTTTATATCACGCAATTCTGACTTTATATCCCGCAATTCTGACTTTATATCACGCAATTTTGACTTTATATCACGCAATTCTGACTTTATATCCCGCAATTCTGACTTTATATCCCGCAATTCTGACTTTATATCACGCAATTCTGACTTTATATCCCGCAATTCTGACTTTATATCCCGCAATTCTGACTTTATATCTCGCAATTCTGACTTTATATCTCGCAATTCTGACTTTATATCACGCAATTCTGACTTTATATCACGCAATTCTGACTTTATATCACGCAATTCTGACTTTATATCCCGCAATTGCGACTTTATATCACGCATTTCTGACTTTATAACACGCAATTCTGACTTTATATCTCGCAATTCTGACTTTATATCTCGCAAATTTGACTTTATATCTCGCAATTCTGACTTTATATCATGCATTTCTGACTTTATAACACGCAATTCTGACTTTATATCTCGCAATTCTGACTTTATATCTCGCAATTGCGACTTTATATCACGCAATTCTGACTTTATATCCCGCAATTGCGACTTTATATCCCGCAATTCTGACTTTATATCCCGCAATTGCGACTTTATATCACGCAATTCTGACTTTATATCCAGCAATTCTGACTTTATATCACGCAATTCTGACTTTATATCTCGCAATTCTGACTTTATATCCCGCAATTCTGACTTTATATCACGCAATTCTGACTATATCTCGCAATTCTGACTTTATATCTCGCAATTCTGACTTTATATCTCGCAATTCGGACTTTCTATTTCGCAATTCGGACTTTATATCTATATCACGCAATTCTGACTTTATATCACCCAATTCTGACTTTATATCTCGCAATTCGGACTTTCTATTTCGCAATTCGGACTTTATATCACGCAATTCTGACTTTATATCCCGCAATTGTGACTTTATATCGCGCAATTCTGACTTTTTATTTCGCAATTCTGACTTTATATCACGCAATTCTGACTTTATATCTCGCAATTCTGACTTTCTATTTCGCAATTCTGACTTTATATCACGCAATTCTGACTTTATATCCCGCAATTCTGACTTTATATCTCGCAATTCTGACTTTATATCCCGCAATTCTGACTTTATATCACGCAATTCTGACTATATATCTCGCAATTCTGACTTTATATCCCGCAATTCTGACTTTATATCACGCAATTCTGACTTTATATCTCGCAATTCTGACTTTTATATCACGCAATTCTGACTTTATATCACGCAATTCTGACTTTATATCACGCAATTCTGACTTTATATCACGCAATTCTGACTTTATATCACGCATTTCTGACTTTATATCATGCAATTCTGACTTTATATCCCGCAATTGCGACTTTATATCACGCATTTCTGACTTTATAACACGCAATTCTGACTTTATATCTCGCAATTCTGACTTTATATCTCGCAATTGCGACTTTATATCACGCAATTCTGACTTTATATCCCGCAATTCTGACTTTATATCACGCAATTCTGACTTTATATCTCGCAA